GGCACTGCGGGCAGGGCAGGCAGGCAGGGCTGCTGGAAACGTGGCCACAAGCACACTGTGGTGGTTCTTCCTGCACAGATCCTGCACAGACACCCAGTGTATCTTCATAGATCCAGCTGTGCACCAAGAAACCAGGCAGTGCTGGTGGCTGTTTGCAGCACCAACCCCATGAGCTGGGTCATGTAGAGGCTCTGTTTGCCACGAGGCATCGGTGGCACTGGTAGGGCAGGGATGACGGCCAGGCAGAGCCCAGGGGACAGCACAGCCCAACTCTAGAGCATCCGAGGGGGATTAGGGTGACAGAAATGAGTCCTCAGCAGCCGTGCTCGGAGCCATCTGCTGGCAGTTGCGACCCTAAAGGGCTCCTCCTCCCCTCCCTCCCCTCATGGCCCCTTTTTTCGGGTCCCAGAGGGAGCATGTGTGAGAGCAAATGCCTTGGCCGAGGTGCAGGGACTACAAAAGGCAGATGGGCTGGGGGGAGGCTGGGAGGGAAATATCCTGGCAAAGCTGCTCAAAGGGAAGGCAAAGAACCCGCCAAAATTTTCAGAGCCAAACATTATCCACCCTGTCTGCCTGTTACCTACAGCTCTCCTTGCAGCACTGCCACCGGGGCAAGAGCCCTGAGTTAAAATACCTGTTATTGTTGGGACAAAACTGGGTTCTATCATCCCAAACAGACTGTGGCACCTCTGCAGCCATGAGCAGGTGGGCCCTGAAGGAGGCAAAACAACGTGGGGGGATGCAGAGGGGCCGTGCAAATGAATCCAAAGGGATGCATCGCACTGGGAGGATGCATGGGGAGCTGCTGATTGATGCTCTGGGGAACCAGTGAACACAGCAAAGGAAAGGTTTAACTCAGGAACCCAGAGCAGGGGGCTGGAGGCTGCTGCCTGATCCCCTGCTGAGCACAGGCACAACCCCAGGCAGGGCAGAGCCAGCAGCCACCACCTTGGCTGTGAGATGGCAGCTCACAGGGGACCATGTCTGGAGGTGTTTGAGAGCCACACAACAACCCCAGGGGCTGTGGGAGGGGTGATGCTGTTTGGGGCACAAAGGGTCAGACCTTGGAGCTCCAGTCCAGCACACACCAAGAATTCTAAAGCAGAAACCACACTGCCTGATCCCTGCTCAGCGAGGAGGCACAAACCACCCCCAAGTGCTTCTCACTTCCCTCTTGAAGGCTCACCAGGGTGGAAACTGCAAGTCTCTGGCTGCTATTTACAGAGGTGAGTTTCCCCTGCAAAACCCCGAGAGCCAGAGGGCTCGGGCCATTGCTCCAGGGCCACTGTTCAGGGTCCATGCTCTGCCACACTCAACCAGCCCAGGTAATGCCAAAATCACAATTTCCTTCACCATCAGCTTCATCTCTGCACGGAAAAGGGCCCCAGGCTCTGCCCTCTGCCCGGGCACAGCACGAATGGGATGACTCTGCACGTGGACAGCCACCAGCTGCCTGCAAAGGTGCATTTTGCCCCCAAGCCCTCACACCACACAACCCCCCTTCCAGTGCCTCTGCCTTCCACTCCCTCCCAGGACACTCCACACATCTTCCCAGTGGGGGACACTCAACCCCAGAACAATCCCACCCCTTTCACCAGGTGCACAGCCACGCACGTGGCAGAGTGCAGGAGCTGCAGAGTCCCCGTGGCCACGGTGCCGCCTCTCCTGGTCCTCACTCCAAGCCCTGCGGTCCATGGGATGGTGCTGATCTCCCTCCCTCCTGCAGGATGTGATGGGCCACATCCAGCCTTGGGGTGCTGCATTCCTCTGCCCTGGGCTTTGTTCCCTGTGAGAAGGTTCAGCTTCTGATGTCCCTGCAATGGACAAGGCAGGAAAACATTCTGATGAGTTGCAGCTCACCATGGCAAGCACAAAGTAGGAGTTTTTGAACCGAGCAGAAAAAACCCTTGGTGCCGCTCCACTGACATTTATAGTAACAGGTATTGCTGTTTCCTTCCTCATTCAGCAGTTTCTGCAGAAAGGTCCCTCTGGACCGAGCTGAGTCACTGCTCCACTGTGCTCCCAGCACCCCGTGCCCCTTCCCGGCACCACAGACAAGGCACAGCCCTGCCCAGCCCCTCTGCAGGAAATGGAGAATCCTCTGGAGGTTTCCAGCAGCACAGAGGTGGCTCTTTAACACTGTGAAACCAAGCTGTGTTATTCATGCCTTGTGCTTGAGCCCAGTCAGAACCTTCATTGTCCATGCAGGACACAGCACAGACATGGACACACCAGAGAAAATCAGTGCTTAAAGCATCATGTTGGGGCCCACGAGATGAGTTGTGAGCAGGAGACGAAACAGTGGTGTGGGCTGAGCACCCTGTGGACAGGGAAAGGATGGATGCCCCAAGCGGTGCCTGGTCCCGGCAGCTGCCTCCTCCACAGAGCAAAACATGGAAGAAAACATCCCAATGGCACAGGTTGCCCAGGGCAGTGGTGGAATCATCATCCCTGGAGGGATTTAAAAGACATGTAGATGTGCCATGACACGGTTAGAGGTGAACACGGCAGTGCTGGGTTAAGGCTGGATTTGATGACCTTAGAGGTCTTCTCCAAACTTAATAATTCCGGGATTCTGTTGCAGCCAGGTGATCCAAGGGCAGGTGCAGCAGAGTCCCTGCCCCTCCAGGCCCCTCTGAAGCATGGCCACCTGGTCCAGGACACCTGTCCCTGCTCCTGGTGACACATCACCCCGCAGTGTCCCTCCTACCCTGGCCCCGCTCTCCCGGCAGCCCGGGGACCCCGACGAGCCAATGCCACCGCTGCGTGTGGCCCATTTGCATGGCAGGGATAAGGGGAAACCCCAGGAAATGCTCAGCCCAGGCATTAATCAAATCGGTCTCTAATAATAAACCCCCCCAAGCCATGCAGGGCCCCAGGGCTGGAGCTCGTGGTGCCATGGCAGGAGCCGAGGGGGATTAGACGCACCGGGAGAGTCAAACGTGAGTCACTGCATGGAGGGGCTGCACGGGGAGATGGGGGTGAGGGGCTGGTCTGTGCCAGGGCTTGGGGCTTGGTCACGTTCCCAGAGTGCCCTCAGGGAGTGGAGGGTCTCCTCAGGTCCTTGCTGGAGGAGCAGAGCCACCACAAAGGGCTCCCACCCTGCTGAAGTGGTCGGTGCTGTGGGGCTGGAGATGGAATCACAGAATGGTTTGGGTTGGAATGGATCTCAAAGCTCATCTTGTTCAACCCCCCTGCCATGGGCAGGGACACCTTCCACTATCCCAGGTTGCTCCAAGCCCTGTCCAACTTGGCCTTGGACACTTCCAGGGAAGTGTGGGAAAACAAAGCTTCTCTGGGCAACCTGTGTGTAGTGTCTGACCACTCTCACAGGGAAGAATTTCTTTCTAATAACTAATTTAAATCTACCCTCCTTCAGCCTAAAGTCATTCCATCTTGTCCTGTGGTCAATTGATTCTTGGAATGTGGGATCCATGGGGGAATTCAGGGTACTGGTCTCTAACTGGTGGAGAGACAGAGGGGCAGATGCCGCTGGCTCTGCTGGAAAACCCATGGCTGCAAAGCCCTGGCTGCTCCATGCTGGGAGCACCATGTGCATCTTGGGGCTCCCCAGGGAGGGCAGCTCAGCCATCGGGCAGGATTTGTCCTAGACAGGGCCAAACATCTCCTTGGACCTGCCCTCGGAGCAGCTGGGAAGGAGGTCCACAGTCTGCATCCCCGGCTGTGACACAGCTCCAAACCTCCGTTTTCCATGCAATTATCCCTTGGGAAGCCCCACCTTGCCTCAGGGATGGTTGAGGCTTCGATCCCCAGGGCTCACTGCCATCCTCAAGGACTCCTGATATCCCCAGGGTTTCTGTAACCCCCAAGGGCTTCCTGACATCCCCAGGGGTCCTGTCATTTTTCTCTCTGGGTACAAAGTACCTTCAAAGAGCACTGGAGGAAACAGCCGGCCTGAGCCTCGCTCTGCCCTGGGGATATCTCCAGTCAGCTCGGCAGAAAGCCATTATTTAATTTTATAGCAATGTTAATTGAACAGTTGAGAAGATAAGGCCAGCACCCCTGTGCAGAGAGAGGACTTATCCCTGGGAATGGGAGGGATTTACCTGTGCTGCCTCAGGTAGCAGTGGAGGACACTCATCCACAGCCCCCCTGCGGGGTGGGAGATGGCAGGACAGAGGGACGTGCCAAGTGCCCAACTTCTGGATGCTCCCGAGTTCCAGAGAGCGAGCGGAGATCCTGGCGGAGCGCAGGGGACTCTCTGGATGCAGATCCGAGCCTGGCTTTGCAGAGGCAGCGGCGCAGCCTTTGGGCAGGCGGAGGCCAACTCTGTGCTGTGGCTTCGGAGAGATTTAACCTTTTTGGGCTCCATCAGCACCGGCATTGCCCCCCCCCCCACCCACAGGAAACAGCTGCGGCTCCCAGCACGGCTCCACTGAGGGATGTGGTGTCCCACGAGCCCTCTCGCTCAGCATTTCCACCACAGCCACCCCCGCGCTGGGCTGGAGCTTTCCCTGCAGCTGCTCTGTGGCCGCAGACCCCACGTGCAGCGTAACACGGCACAGCGTTAATCATCAGCCAGCTCACCCCTTCAAGTGTAGGCTGTTGACCAGATTTTTGGGCTGCTGAGGGCTGCTCGTGCCTTATTCCTGTGCCTTTGGCATCACACCCAGCACAGCAGGGCACTGGGAGCACCGTGGCAGGGGATGGTGGGGCAAACAGCCCATCACAGGGACAGGAGCACGTCCCCCTCCGGGCATCCCAGGTGGCACTGAAGCTCTCCTGGGGACACGTCCCTCCTGCTGCTTCGGGGAGCCTTACACGTCAGATGGGGTTTCACTGTGATGCTCTAAGACCCAAGAGAGATGTCAGAAGTGACACACGAAGCACCTCGGAGCCACAGAGGAATTCAGAAGTTTCCAGAACTAAAATTCGTTTCAGAAAACGTCACCAGCGCTCCCTCGGGTCGTGTTTCTCGTCCCCCTAGACAGGGATGAGGTGGCTGCCCCGTACCCACCTGTGCCTCTCGTTCCGCAGCCATGGATGGGACGCGTGTGGGCCGGGATGCCATGAACAACTGCACCGACCAGGAGTACTGGGACACCCTCGTTTCCAGGTGCATCCCCTGCAGCCTCGTGTGTGGCCAGCCCACGGCCAGGAGGTGTGATGCCGTGTGTGGTGAGTGCCGGCCGGGCAGGCACGGGAACCACAGGGCTGTTCTGGGATGGAGCAGGCAGGGATGGGGCGAAGCTGGCAGGGGGGGGATCAGACCCTGGGATAAACCCCAGGGTAGGCTCTGAGCCAAAAATGAGGGGCTTTTTGGCTCAAAAAACGAGGCAAAATGTCACAAAAATGCAACAGTTTCCCAGTAATGGGCTGGGGCTGGCTCAGCACAGACCAGGATGGAGTTGCCCACTACACTGCTTGCTCCCTTCTGGGGTCACAGGGCTGCATCAACACTCATGTCCCCCACTGGTGTCACCCCACCCTCCTAAGGCAGGGCCTGGAGAGCCCATCAGGTTCAGCTGATGTGGATAATGATAAACCCAAGCTGTGGGTCTGTGAGGGTGAACTGTGGGCCCTGAGCTGGGAGAGGCACTGAGGTGTCCTGATAACAGGCAGGGAGGAGGAGGAGGGACAGATGCACCTTGCACCCAGACCCTCTGCAGGGCCCCTTCCCTCCCTCCTGAGCCACAGTCTGGGATGGCTCCACCCTGTCCTAGGGCTCAGGGGACACAGCCCTGCACACTCAGCCACCAGTCACGTCTCTCTGTTGAGGACAGAGATGCCATTCCCAGCATCCTGAGCCAGGGCTCGGGCAGGTTTTGGTGTGTCCCAAAAAGCTGTGCAAGCCCCAGGGCAGGAGCAGCTCTAAGAGCAGCAGCCAGGAGCTCCCAGCTGCAGGTGGGTACAGTTGGCTGCAACCATTCCCAGCAGATGCCTCTCCCCAGCATTCACCATCCAGCCAAACAGCACCCCAAATCCCATGGATCTGTCACCCTGCCAGCCCTGGAGAGGTTGTCCATGCTTATGGCAGTGCATCATCCTCTCGTGACTCTGAGTGCCCAGGGGTGCTGGGAGGGTGGTTTGGGAGCCTTGTGTGGGAGGATGTGCTGAGGACAGCGTGTTCATCTCCCTCCTCTCCTGCAGAGTCCATGGGCTGCAACAAGACACCTGGATTCTACTACGACGAGCTCGTGAGAAGCTGCATCGAGTGCAGCACGGTCTGTGGGCAGCACCCCAAGGAATGTGCCCCGTCCTGCGAGCGTGAGTGGGATGGGGGCGGGACCCCAGGGCTGGGAGGCTGGGCTGGAAGAGGAGCTGGGGTACAGGACTGAAGTTGGGGAAGGGGCAGCAAAGCCCACCCTGCTCTTCGTCCTGGGGGGGGCTGGACTTTTTTGTGCTGCCATTTTACTGGGACTGGGGAAAGGCAGTCAGGGCACCTCTTCCCCCTTTTCTCCATCCTACAGTGCCTTTTCACTGCCCTGTGCTGGTGTTTTACAGGCCTGTCAGCTGCAGATCCCACCCAGCTGAGCTGCCCCAAGCCCTCAAGGAGGGGGGAGTGAGAAGGGACAGGTAGATCCCAAGATCTCCAAGCCCCACCGGGGGGTTGAGACAGTGAAATGATCCCTGGAGGTGGGGGAAGGCTGTGCATGGGGTGTGGGAAGGGACCTCCTCTATCTCACCCTGGAAGAGAAATTCCAGCAGACAGAGGGGATAGAGAGCTGCTCTCAGATTCTTTCCCAGTGGAGAGCACAAGTGCTATCAGCCCTTTCCGTGCCAAAAAGCCAGTGAGGGAAGCACGTACCCGAGGGGTGTGTGAGCTCACCCATCTCTGCCCGACCCGCAGCCTCTCCCCCGTCGCCCGCGGCTGTGCTGGAGCAGAAGGCGTGTGCGGAGCAGGAGCCGTGGCTCGTGGTGTATCTGCTGCTGGGGCTCTGCCTCTGCGCCCTCATCTGCTCCCTGCTCCTGGGCTGGACACACCTGCGCAGGAAGGGGGAGGTGGGCTCCTGCCACGCCGGCGCTGCCACCTGCCACTGCAGGGAGGACTCTGCCAAAGGTGGGTGCTGGATGTCCTGGGGGGACTGGGAGAGCGTGGGGAGCCTGTGGTGGGCAAGGCTCAGGGTCCCAGGCGCTGCTGGGGGGCCAGGAAACAGAGCCAGATGCTAACAGGGAGAGGGGGATAAAGTAAAGCCAGCGATGGGCAAAGCGGTTCAGCCTGAGCCTGCAAGAGGAGCAGGACTGGACCCCTGTGCCCCAGTTCCCTCCATAACCCCCTTCTCCATCACTCCCCACAAAGTCACAGGCACAGCTTCCTGCTGCCACACAGGGCTGGAGCTGCACCGTCCCCCAGCCCCTGAAAACCCCTCAGCTAACAAAGTTTCTCTGCAGATCGGCTGGTGGAAGCGGGCAGCGTCGGTGAGGGGTTCGCTGGCAGCAGAGTCCCAGGGCCAGTGGAAACCTGTGGCTTCTGCTTCCCTGGAAACGGCCCTGCTGTGCAAGAGATCAAATCCAGCCACAGCGCCTCGTGTCACGCTGGGGAAAGAGCTGCTCCCTCCTACACCGGGATCTGCAGCACGGGATGCGCTGGGGCCATTCCCGGCCCTGAGGACGGCCACTTCAAGATCATTTGTTCCCCTTCCCAAGAGAAGACACCCATGGTGTGACCACAGTGGGTGTTCCTGCACAGGCTCAGAATGGAGGGGTGCTCCCTCTGCCCCCAAAACACAACTGCTTCACCCTCTGCTGCCACTGACTGTAACAGCTGCTACCCAGACTGGCTGACCCAGCCCAGGCTTTGCCAGGGGCTGCAGGATAGAGTGAGGGCTGGAGGTTGCACAGGGCTCTTTGCTCCCACTCAGGAAGTTAAATTCTCATTATTCTTGTGCACTCCCAGTGAGTGACAGAAGTCACTTCCCATTTAGCAGCATCTGATTTCATCCTCTCACATGATCTCCATAGACATCCCAGCCATCTCGTGGGGGCTCTTCATCCTCCCACCATCAGTGACACTTTGTCCCTGCAAAGGATCAGAATGTGGCATCCACCAGTCCCCCTGGAGAGCTCACCTTTCCCTGCTTGGAATCTCTGCTGTGCACCAGAACGGTTTACAGCTGAGCTGTAAAGATCTCAAACGTGGACTTAGATCCAAGGAGTTCCTGGTTGAAGTCACAAGGATCCAGTGTGGAAAGGTCCACTGCCAGCTCCCAGCACTGCCTGGGAGGGGAGGACAGGTCAGTGGTGAAGGTCAGACTTTACCTCACAACAGGACACGATGATGCACACGAGGAGCTGGGACAGGCACCAAAATCCTCAGTGGAATTGGGTTTAAATGTGGGAGCTCACCCAAGGCTGAGAACTTACTAAAACACTGGATCTACCTATGTTTGCTTTGGGTTACTCCAAATAGCTGGTGAAAGTCAGGAACCAGCTGGAGATTGAGCTGCTTCAACAGAGTATTTTTATCTGACCTGGCTTTGAAAGCTACTACGGAAAATTAGGGATTTCAACACATAACTTGAAGTTCTCATCTCCACTAAAGGAGGGTATAGAAATTTTTTTGCTTGGCGAGGAATTGCTCCTGGTAGGAGCTCATCCCTTCCACTTTCTCAAACTAAAACTTCAAGTTTGGAAGAACAAATGAGTCAATACGTGTACAAACTGGCACTGGGAAAGCTGGAGAAAGCATGAGCAGAGAGTTATAAACAGACTCTGTCCCTTCCATATTATATATTTCTTTAAATGTAAATGCTTTTTTCTCATTAAAAAAGGCATCACTTGCAAAGGTGAGCCTTTCACTCTGGTCACCTCCCACAGTCTCTCAGCACCAAGAGTCCATTGGCCTTCCAGCCTCAGACCTCCTCTACCTCCCACTCTCTCAATGTGAAGACCCTCTTGGTCTCCCCTCTCACATTGCCACCTTCCCCTCCTCTGGGGCCTCCAATTCCTCAGCATCATCTCCCACAGCCTTAGCTCCCTCCTGTGGAATCTGCTCCAACGGGCTCTGGTCTCATGCCCTCAGTTCCTGTGCTCTCCAGACCTGTGGTTTCCTGCCCCACAGCCTCAGCTCCAACAGCCTCCAACACCCTGGCCCCCAAACCTGTGGCATCATTAGCACCCCAATTTCTCTAGACCTCCAAAAGTCTTCCAGCCCCAGAAGTGACTTTGGCCTCCACCTTTGTTTATCCTCAATACTTCCTTAGCCTCAGTTCTTCCTCATTCTGCATCTCTGCACAGACTAATCTCTCCTTCAGCCTCCCCAGTCTCTCGGTTTCTGTTCCAGCTCAGCCTCTTTCTTTCCTTCCCACTATCTCCTGCATCTGTTTATTTCCTACACCCTTCAGTCTCCCCCTGCATTCTTGCTCAGCCTCTGCTCCTGCTGTCAGGCTCCTGTTGGTGCTCAGACCTCCAAAGCCTCTTGGCTTGTCCTCACCCTCCTCTCCTGCTGTGTCCTGTTCCCTCTGTGCCTCCTACAGCACCACGTCCCCCACTCTCCCTGGGGACTCAACCAAGCCTGACCCCCCTCAGGTGGGGCCTCCCCAGCCCCAGCAGTGTCTCTTCCTCCTCTTGGTTTCCCTTCCTGCAGCCTGACCCCTCCATCAGCCTCCCCAGGGTGAATTCCAGAATGGTTTGGATTGGAAGGGACCTTAAAACTCATTTTGTTCCAACCCCCTGCCATGGGCAGGGACACCTCCCACTAGCCCAGGTTGCTCCAAGCCCTGTCCAACCTGGCCTTGGACACTTCCAGGGATGGGGCAGCCACAGCTACTCTGGGCAACCTGTGCCAGGGCCTCCCCACCCTCACAGGGAAGAATTCCTTCCCAATATCCCATCTAACCCTGCCCTCAGTCAGTGGAAGTCATTCCCCCTTGCCCTGTCCCTCCAGGCCCTTGTCCAAAGTCCCCCTCCAGCTCTTGGAGCCCCTTTAGGCCCTGGAAGGGGCTCTCAGGTCTCCAGGAGCCTTCTCCTCTCCTGGCTGGACACCCCCAGCTCTCCCAGCCTGTCTCCAGGACAGAGGAGCTCCAGCCCTTAGAGAATCCCCATGGGCTCCTCTGGACTCGCTCCACAGTTCCACCTCCCCCTCACGTCAGGGGCTCCAGAGCTGCAATCAGTGCTCAGGGTGAAGGGGTTTTGCACCTACCTTGGGGCAGCACCAGCACATCCTCCCCTTGCAGCAGGACTGGGAAAGCCCCCAGCTCTGTGTCCTCTATGTCCAAGCGCTTCCCAGCGAGGATGGAGGTTCCAGGAGAAGGAAAACCCTCCCAAACAGAAGTGGTGTCTCATCACACAGCCCCTTCCCAGCAGGGAGCTCCCGTGGGCAGCACTGGGGACACGTGGCTGTGGCCCAGCTCCAGTGGACCGTGCACCTTCAAGCGTCACCTCCAGGAACCCCCAGCCAAGGTTCTTGTGGAAGGAAACTCAGAACCTTATTTAAAACCAGGATTCAAAACCTGAACCCGTGCCACCAGTTCTGCAATTAGGGCATCCCTGGAGGATCAAGAGGCATCAATTATTCAAAGGAGAGAGCTTTTAGGGAAGTGTTCGTGCCAGCGAGCGCGGCAGCTCACCCTGTGTGGCACCGGCAGCTCCTGCTCCCGCTGGCCCCGGAGGACACTCACCTTCTCACACCCAGGCAAAGCCCATGTTGGCACAGGGCTGTTCCTCCAGTCACCAGGTTGCCTTGGTGTCCCAGAAATTGGGGAAAACACTCACTGGAAGCCAAGTGCTTCCCTCCTGCCCTGGGAGCAATCCCTCAGCCTCCCTTCCCTGAGGGAATGTAACTACAGTTAGCAGGATAGAGAAGGCAACAGAGCACCTTTAACAAATCAGCAGTGAGAGCAACACACATCCTGAGGTGCTGGAGAACCAAGAGGAATCAATGGATTTGGCATCACATTTGCAGCCATTGGCCAGCAGCTCCAATGGGTCACACCTGGAGACATCATTTACAATAGGAGGACATTGTATGTATGGAACACAAACAGTTCCAGCTGGATAAGTCACACTGTATGAAGGGAATTAAGGGCACTAATTCTGAGCAGCAAGAGCACCCACCTGGAGTTTAACCAGTTCTCCAATTTTGGCTTTTTCCGTTGGGCACCATCATCAGGCAAAGCTTTGGCTACAGTCGAGCAGCTGAGGGTCAAGAAAATATACCTAAAGCCACTCTCTGGGTATTTTTGTGCCCCATGTAGGGCTGTGTTCACTGCTGGCAGGTAACAGCACACACCCCTCTGTGAGCCTGCACCACTGCACCAGTCTTTGTTTCCAGTCATTTCTGCAGATGCCTCCTCCCAGCAGCCCCAGCTGTGCAGATATAAAACGTGTCTCCAAGTAAACAAGTCAACTCCAAACTGCTCCCCGAGATGAGGAGGGGGAGCAGCTGAAGCAGCAGAGTTGTCACTCGAGGAGGAGGAGGAGGCAGCCTGTCACTGCTGTCTGTCAGCACATCGGGGAGGCTCCGCTTCACTCGTGGCCGGCGTTGATGGAGTTCCAGAGAAACCTCCCGGCTCCCCAGGGAATAACTCAGTGCAGGAGCTGCACGGCTGCTTCTGAAGGCATGGAGGGCAAGAGAAGGCTGTGTTTGAGAGAGAGCAGCACGAGAGGCAGTGCTGCTCACACGACAGCAGCTGCTCTTCCATTTTTATAGGAAGAAGGAAAATGCTCTCCCCTCCTCTCGGAACCTGCGCTGATTTACTGCTGCTGGAAACAGAACTGTGCCTGCCACAATCTAGGGAGGGACACGGAGGGTGGGAGGGCAAGCAGGAGGGGGGGAAGAAAAGAATAAGAGCTTTTCATACACCAGGAATTCTGCTTTTGAAACCCAGAACGAACCATGAAAGTCCCCCCCCCGAAAACCATCTGTGCCAGTGCAGCCGCACAGAGCAGAGCCCCCTTCGCCAGATGGGAGGGGAGGAAAAACCAAGGGTGATTTACACATCTGGCCTCGGCCCTGAACAGTTTGCTTCTGAAGGCTCAACAAAGCAGCCTGCAGCGGCTCCCGCGGCCGGGCGTGTGCCCTGCGAGACGGAATTCATTACAAAAGCAGCCAAAGGCTCCGACCTCAGAGAAGGCTCCGGAGTCCTCCTGGCAGCCCGCGCGGTGGCACTGCTGGTCCTGCGCCTGCAGGAGCGGCGGGAACGCCAATGCAGCAGCCCTGGGAACCAGGAAGGCTGATCTCGCCTTCCTCTGCAAGCTTGCTGCATTATTAAAAGGTAGCAGGGAGCGTCGTCAGGCATCCGCACGATCCCGTGCCCGATTCCAGGGGGGAAGGAAGGAGGGCCCCCCTCCTCCCTCCTGCGGGTGTGCCAGTCATCCATCCGCATTTCTCCAGCCATTTTCCATTCGCGACAGGAACGCTCCGGTTAAACTGTGCAGCCCCCAGTTACAGCTGGGGATTCTCTGAGGCACGAGGGGTTACACAGGCAGGGAACGGGATCAGCCCCGCACCACACCCAGCGCTCTGGGTCTCTCAGCCGGTGTTGGAGGTGCTGCAATCCTTTTTCTTCCTCCTTCCCCCTCGCAAGCTGTCGCAGAAATCTCTTGATGTACCAAACCTCCTTGTACTCTTCCAGTCTGGGTGCAAATCAAAAAAATCCCACCGTCCTTTTGTCCAGCTGCTCTTGCAAGATGCTCATTCAAAAAAACAAACACGCTCAATTCCCTTATTTTAGTATTTTTCTGTTATCAGACCGTGTCTCGGGGAGGTTAAGTGATTCATAAGTGTGAATCACTTCTAGTGCACAGAACCTAAAGGGTTGTACCCCTCTATGTTTTTCCACAGCGGTAAAAGCCAAGGAATGGCTGGCTGGATAATTATGCAGAGGTTAATGACCAGAGAAGCTGTGGCTGCCCCATCCCTGGTAGTGTCCAAGGCCATGCTGGACAGAGCTTGGAGCACCCTGGGCTAGTGGAAGGTGTCCCTGCCCATGGCAGGGGCGTGGAATGAGATGAGCTTTAAGGTCCAACCCAAAGCTTTGTGATTCTGGGATTTTTGGTGTGACTTTTACACCAACTTACACGGCGCCCAACTCTGACTCCTCGCCCTCTCCATAAGGAAGGGACACCAAAGATATTTTTGCTCTTTCAGCTCTGTTCTGAGTGGTGATTCTAACCCCAGCCCAACCTCCTGAGAGCAAGATCCAGCACATGAGCAGCTACTGCTGGTACCTGGACACAGCGATGGGGGGGGAGAAAAGGCCCCAGAGCTCCGAGCTACACGCACCGACACGCAGGCTGCGGTTCTGCAAGAGGAGAAAAGCATGTGAAGAGTTAATCCATGTGGGAGGACACAAGGAACCAATACCAGCCTAGCACATACCAGGAAAATGTGTTGTTTACTTAGAGCACTGCAGAAGGGCTCAATAGCAGCAGATCCATCGCTCAAAGCTGCCCCTGCACCGACCGTTCCCAACAGATGGTACATTTTTCAATACTGAGGTTCTCTCAAGTGTCAAGATATATATAAATCCACCTTTGGAAGGCAGCAAGGGAAGAAAACAAACCAAAACCAGCAACAACAAAACAAGCACTTTTAAAAAATTCAAACTTATTCACAAGATTTAAAAAAAAACAAACCCCAAACCAAACAGAAAATAAGAACCAAGACCACTCTTACAGTATAAACACGCCAATTCATTCATTTTTACTGATGGTTGCATTTATGACTTTCATTCTCGTGAAAAAAGGGAATAAAAGGAAAAAAATTAAGAAAATAGCTATTTATAGAAAACAAAACAAAAAAGGGCTCAAACAGAACAGAATCTGTGCTGATGCTTTTGATGAGCAGTCCGATGGCATTGAACATTACCTGTGCAAGCAGGCATGCTTGAAAACCTGTCTGAGTACTGCAGCTTCAGTTCCACAATCCAGGGTTTCTTTTATGGTTGTTGGAAAAAAAAGAGCCTAATAGTTTCATACTGTATTTATTTAATAACTAAAATTCACAAATAAAAAGATACTTGCAAAGTCCTTTAGTTGTCTCATCCCCTCCTCCTCCACTCTACTGCTTTCAGACCCATATGCATAAAAAAATGGGTTTGGATTTTTAATTTTAACTGTTATATGATTGGTCGTTGGAGCTGAAGCACCAAATGGAGAAGATGCTTTATGGAGATGAGGGTAGAACCCTTTGCCTTCCCACACACATTTTTTGGAGGAACACAGGAGATGTACCAGCGCCCGGGCTCCTCTGCTCCCATTTCCCCCACCCAGAGCATTCCTTTCATTTTATATTTCCTCTGTTAAGTGACTGACTGCAGCCTCCTCTCCCCCTCTCTGTCCTTGTGGGACCGCACACACGTCGGACATTGTTCATTTCTCACTCTCCAGGCTTTGAGTCAGTGTCAAGTAGGTCCTGTTACAGCTCAGTGCGAGTTGGTTTTTAATGGGTCTTTTCATTTCAGGTAGGTTTGTGTGTCGATTCAGAAGGCTTGCGTATTTTCTTCCTTGTTTATGTCTGACAAGCTGCTGGATAAGGCTATTCATACTCCAGGAACTGTTTGTGATAGAACAGCAAATATCTGCAAGAGAGCAGAGAGACAGTTTCAGTTCTCTGCTCGGCGTCGGAGCAGAGGAGTTGCCATTGACGGGATCATAAAATACAAGGACTGTTCATTTTGGGGTTTTTTGCAATTTCTTGAAGCAATTCCAGGGACAGTTAACCAGGGATGAGAAGAAGGGAAGCCAGCTGACAAAATTTTACCAGCAACTCAGGAAACTCAACCGTTACACATCAAACAGGAGTCCCAGAACAGCAAATGGAGCCCCATGGATGCCCCATCCCTGGAAGTGCTCAAGGCCAGGCTGGATGGAGCTCTGAGCAACCTGGTCTAGTGGGAGGTATCTATGCCCATGGCAGGGGGCTGGAACTGGGTGATTTGTAGGGAAATTTGTCTCCTCCTACCCAGGCCATTCTATGATTCCATAAAACAGTCAGACCTTGTTGTACAATCTACTTAGAACCTGAAAGCTCTGAAAGATAGGACAGTGTTGGTGCCCAGACAGGAAGCAACAATTTGACACTAATGGGACACAAAATAAAGGTGTTTTAAGATGCAACTGTTGCTTTAGAGTCACATTTACCAGATCATCAGGCACCAGGATTATTGGAAACTGCCTTCCATTTACAGTTACAGAAGCAAAAGGAAGCAGCAGCCACGTGGGTGAACACTCCCAGTGAAATATCCCATGTCTCAATCTCTACTCAAATCTGGTGTTTTAAAGGATGAAATTCCTCCTGTCCTTAATTCCTGTGTGTGTGCTGGCACAGAAGGGAGCCCGGCCCCCAGCAGTGACACATCAGAAGGGGACTCATCACATGCTCACACAGCCACTGATGAGCCTTAAAATGCCCCAGAGCACTTCTGACACTTTCCAATTGTTCCCCTTCCATCCAAGCCCTACGGAGCTTCCCTCACAAAATGCAGATCTACTCAGTGTCAGCCTTTTATCTGAACCAGGGAAATGGATCAGAGCTCAAACCAGCCTTTAATAAGATGGACAGGCAACAGTTGTGTTGCACATCCTCTCCTCCTTGCCTCTGGCAGGTCCTTCCACAGCCAAACCCCTCACCTGGGCACCAGCCACTTGTGGCTGATTTACAACAGACTCATTTCTTTGCTGACCTCAAAGCATAAATTCCTTGTCAAATCATTTAACACTACAATTCAGATATTATGGATTTTTCTTTTTCTTTTTTTTTTCCACTTCTGAGTTGAAGTTCAAAAAAAAATAAAAAAAAAAAAAAAAAAAAAAGGGAAAATCTATTAAAAAAATTACAAACTGAACATTGTGCCTGCAGCAATCCTCGGAAATGTTAGGAATAATTAAAGTAAGAACGGTGAAGGCTTATCTTTCCAGTGCCAAGTCTATAGCTGAAAATGCAAAATGAAGATTTCAGATTTTAAGTTGCTTTAAGCACCAGTCCCCAGTGCTTCTCTCAAACAAGGAACACCTCAGTGCTTCCCTTTGCAAACTGCTGCTCTGCACTCCCAAAACTTCACTAATGCAACTGTGGGAAACCATAATGTCAACCTGAAATCAATTTAAAGCCATGAGCTAAGGGACAGCTCATGTTCTCTACCTGCCTCCCATAGAGCCTTGTCACTCTGGGTCACACCATTTTCTTAATGGCACTGAACATCCCCCAGAGACAGCAGACATTCAAAGGGAGAAATTATCCTTCTCTATGGTTAAAGGGTTTTTTAAAGTCACAGTTTCCCTTCTCTTCCCCTTCCCAGCTGACCACTTACCCTTCACTGTCTAGCACATCCTTAATGCTTGCCTTGGTGATTATGGCATCATCACACTTGAACCACTGGTCCTTGTGCTGCCGGATGAAGCTGGTATAGTGCCCACTCTCCAAGGTTCCCTGGTGATTAACTACTGCAAACAAGGAATACCTGGGGCAGGAAACAGTTAATGAACACGTGGATCAAAAGGGGAAAAAGCAATGGGCATTTCAGACAGGTAGAAGCTTTTGTTCACAAACACATGTAACAATGGTTAAGGATCTGACCCATCAACTAAACACCAGCTTTAGCATAAACTGGGAAGAGGGAGCCCTTGCCAAGAGAAAACCCCACATTTTTCTTCTCCTGTTTTGCTATTTCTGCAACTCTCCAGCCTGGTGACAGCCATCAGCTTTACCAGTACTGGCTACCAAGGATTTTTCTTCTAAAATACCGATATTGGTGCACTCCTGAAGAGGACCATTGATTATCTAGTCTGACCTTCTACTTCCCTGAATTGTTCTAGTGAACCAGAAAAAATGCATTTGAGGTATGGAGGAGGAAGTAATCTTAAATATTTCTAGTGTTAAACTAATTTACTGATTAATTGCCCTTAATCTGGAAAGCCTGTACCTATTTTGAAATGCTGAATATATTCAGCCTCAACTTCCAGCTCTCAGATGCTGCTGTGGATTTGCCTGAAAAACAGCAGACACAACTCTGTTCCAAAGATACTGATAATCAAGTTGCTCTCATTTTCTTTCTCCTTTTCTTTCCTTAAAAAGGAGAAGACTGAAGTTCTCAGCTCTTTTGTTCAAAGGTAAGATTTTGTTTCCAGTCCTAAATGCACTTGTGGCTCTTTTTCAAATGCTCTCCACTCTCTTTAACTCTTTCATAAAATGCTGTCCTCAAACTGTGTGTGTGCTACAAGCACAGCTGCACAATGGTAAAACAATCTCTCTAATCTCACTTGATATTGTCCTACCCGTTTAAAATTCACAGAGCTCTTTTGACACAGCGGTGCCACCACAAGGCACCTATTCACTGCCTGCCTGCAGAGCCACTGATTTATAGTCACCCTCTTCTAGTGGAGTCCTTTAATCCAACTAGGATGGGCACAAATTGCAGTCCCAGCTGGAGAATTCCAAGATTGCCCCAGCTCTACTGGTACCCAAATTACTGAGCAGCCCAGGCACCTCTGCTCTCATTACCTAAATTGTCTTCTTTTTTAACACCTTCTCCAACTTAGGGCATGTGCAAATCTCAACAGTGATTAGCTGTGTTTCCTTCAGACCTTTTCTAACACTATTCAACACCCCACTCCTCATGAATCAACCTGTAGGACCACACAACTGCCTGGTACCTGCCTGGATGGCACCTGCACCAAGACCTGGTTAGCTTGTTTTTAAATCTTTGTATGATTCCAGTTTCTCATTGAAACTCTGAGTGGCAAGTGAAGTGCCTTGAATTCAAATACACAACAGCAGCACATAACTGGCAATGGAAGTTGTAACCTTATTTAAATGAAGAGACAGGGTTTGTGTGACCATTTCTATTCCCATAAAGCTACAGATTACTGGTTTCAATTACACCCCCTTTCCATTTTTGAGCAAGTTCCATATCATTTATTCTGACTGTTATCAATACCTGACCAAGAGACCCCAGGATTACTCAGATCATCTATTTGGGCCTTTGAGTGTCACCGTTCCATAAACCCTCTTTGGTCTTCTGGAACTCCCTTGGCCATTGCAACAGAGAGAGGATTATTTCAAGGACACCCCCCATCCCCTGTAAGGCTGGAACCACAGTTTTTACTTCTGCCCACAGAGCGGCTGCTGGGGGGGATCACCCCCAGCTCTCACACACCATGGAAAGGCAGGAATTGTAGCGAGCGCAGCTTCGTCTTGCAACAGTTCAGACTTACTGTGCTGTCAAATATGGTAATGCCCTGGCACTGCAGGATATACAGCAGAGCATCTCCTTCTAGGAGGCAGCCACCTTTCACAATAGGAGTCATGGAATGTGCCACTTACTTATTATCATTGTTTAGACTATCCGTCGGCTGCTGGTACTGCCCGTTCATTCTGCTCTCTTTACTGCAACACACACAAAAATCCAGTCACTTAAAGCAGAGGCTTCCCACACCCAGCAAACAGGTCTGACACGACACAGCCTGTTTGCCTGAGCCCCAAAAGGCTGATTAGGATGCTAAGGATGCTTTATTTGCTCTCAGAGCAGTGCTACTTTCACAAACACCATTTCTGCTCCTGGTCAAGGCTTCGGTGCTGCAAACACACATCTGTTTACGTCAAATGTTTTATCCAAAGAGCTTAAGAACAGGTTAAGAAAAGATTTGTATTTGAAACCCTGGAAAATATCTAATTACATCAATCCTTTATCTTGTGATGGGTCAATCATCCTGGCTCTGACTTGTAAATTCATTTTGTGTTTTGACAGCAGCAATAGGATTATGCTGTTGATTTCATAGCCGGTAAAATTCAGACTACTGAGTTATGCCTGCTGATTATCTCACCTCTATTCCATTATGCTGGATACCTTTCATCAGCAGAGCCTGTTTTATCCAGGGAGAATTCATCTCAGAAGAACAGGGAAGTCTCAAAATCTCCAGAATGTATTGGAATAAACCATATATCCTTAATATAACACTATTTAACAGAGCTTCAGGGCTCTCCTTTCTCTCCTGGTAGAAGCACCTACTTTCTTCCAGGGAAAGGGGGAGGGCAGGCAAACCCTGAAATTACTAGTAAAATTTTAACATCAAACAGAGCCCTCTCTGAGATGCCACGTTCTGGGGCTTTCTGCACTGCTTCAGATATAAATTAAATCTGAAAATCCTCTTGTATATTTGCATGGAGTACTGACAAATACTTGTTAACTGAGCTGATTAAATTCCTTTTATAAAGGTGTATTTGTATAAATGGCACGTCCTCCATAAACCTGGGAGGTGGGGGAAGTCTTGCTGTTTCTGTTTAAACACCAATTAAAGATATCTATTTTAATCTGGACTGTGTTCTTGCTTCTTGCAGCGTTCTCTAAACAGAAGTTGAAGGCACAAACCAAAAAACCCGAGGTTTGCATATGTGCAGGCATAGAAAGGAAGGATTTTTGTAACTTCATGGATACAAGGTTAGGCATAAGGTTGGGTGTAGTCTGGATAACTGCACAGGATGGTTGGTGGGTGGGCACTCAGGTGATGGGATCAAAACAGAGATCTAAAGGCAGGATGGATCTGAGTCTATAAATTCAACTGGCAACAAGAAACATAACACAGAGTAATTTAAAAAAAAAAAAAAGGAATGTTTAAATATAAATCCTTTTCAGGCACATGAAACTCTACAGTTTACCTAAAAATGAGTTTAGAGAAGCCACACCTTTCAAGGAGCAGCTCACGGCAGAAGTACCCTGTCCATACTGTTCTATCCCCTGACTCAAGGATGCTTCATGTATGAACATGTATGAACTGGTAACCAGTTCTGTGCAGGTCTGGGGGGGATTTTGGACTTGGTACACACCTGGAAGCCATGAAAGGTGTCATGTCCAGCTCCAGTGGAAACGAGACATACGTAGTGATCTTCCGCCTCAGTTTGGCTGAGTGTTCAAACCGCTGCAGGCAAAGGGGGACAGGATTTTTTTCTTTAGAGAAAGATTAAATTTTGTGTCTTTTAGAAGCTTAAAAACAACATGAAAGCATATTAAGAGTCTGTATTGCAGGGACACCCCCAGATTTTTCCTACCAGCTCTCTGGGCTGGGAACCTCATGTAAATTCTATCACATGTCTACCAGGAAAATAAACCACCAGTTGGGGGCTCAATATTAATACAGTATTAATTAGATTGCTTACTTTGATATCTATACATACAAACTTACTCCTAACTGACAGTATTTAAAAAAAAAATATCCCAAACAGAGAGGGCACACACAGCCTTTACTCAAACCAGTGTTCATCTGTACTAGGGCTGTTCAAATCCATGGCTGCTGCCTACCCTGGCACACAGAACTGGTGACAACTGGAGCTTGCCTTCAGATTCACACACTTAATCCACCCATCCAATCATCTCAAGTGACAGGAGTCAAGCCTACACAAGAATACCAATTCAAATCAATGCAAAAAATGGAATATGATAACAAAAAAACAGCCTTGTCCCTTGGCCAAAAGGGGCCTGCAATACCCACCATCCTCTCCTCATCTTCTTGATTGAACATTACATGGAAACAGGAACAAGTACCAGAAAGAGATGAATGAGTTTCTATTTAAAGGCAGCTTCTCACTCAATTTCTCAGAAATTCTGCTCTATTTACACTTCAAGTTAATTATTTTCCAATTGTGACGCCGTAAGAATTCCCTAGCAACAGATCCAGATGTGAAAAGCTGAGACTTCTGCAATTCTTATCTTTTGTGTTTCTTTCTTGCTTTAGCGCATGAAAGAAAATGAAATTTGCATTTTGCATAGACAGGACAACACAATCACTCATGAAAAGTAATTTATTTTCAAAAAATCTTCAGTCAAATACTGAACTGAGTATGGGAAAGGGGTTGAGCACGTTCACCTTGACTTGCCCAAAGAGCAGAATCCCCACTTAGCACCACATTTCAGACAGAAATTGTACAGAACTAAACTATCTGAGGGCACCAGCATTATCTGCCATAATTGCATGTGACATCATCTGCTTTGGAGATGGTTAAAACTACATCACAGTTGGGGCAATACAAAAAATGTTCCTCCATTGCTATCAGAACTTTTTCGTGCTTTTCCTTCAACACAGAGGCATTTTTTTTCAGTGGAAGTGTAAAAATATTACCATGCAGGATGAGTAAGTGTCACTGGAGATTGGTGTCTGTGCTGGTTCAGGTATTAGACCAGCTTTCCATCCTGCTCCTGCATTCTGGCTGGTTGAATTCCCCCAGACATGCTGCAAAGCTACATTATAGATAATGTCACACTATCTTAATGGAAAATCTAGCTGGGCAATGCAAGCTGTTTTTTATATTAGTTTATATCATACAAGTTTAGTCAGTGAAAGCCAGAAGATACGTCCAGGAATTCAGCTCATCCTCTCGGAGAGGAAATCACATCCTCTGCTCTGTCAGCCCCCTGTGAACTTACTTTGAGATGAAAACAGGCCACAATGGGTAACTTCTTCATAGTGAGTTGTTTGGTGGATTCCTGGTAGCTATGGCAACCACTACATTTGATTTTGGCACTGCTTCCTAGATGTTCTGGCCTTGTAAACCTAAAAAAATGCATTGAAAAGCAGAAGGATGCACAAAACAATCAGATGATTTTTCACACATGCTGAAAACAGTTTTACCTGGGGGTCACTGGCATCACAAGAGACAGAGTCCATTGCTTGTAAGTGCCATTTGGAAAAAACCCCTATAATAAACCCTATAATAATGTAAATGCTATGGTTCAGAGATCCAAATCTGACACTGATCATGGATCTAGTTGGGAACATCGCACTGAAGTGCATCAGTGCCTGAGAAAAGGAGCCCAGTGTTGGTTCATCTCCTACAGCAGAACAGCTAATTTTCATACAGAAAGGAAAAGAGATTTTGTTTTCAAACCCCAAAACATTGATATGGAAGACACTCCTCTGCAAAACACCCTTCTACCTTGTAGCCCTCCAGGGCTGGGATCAAAGCTCTGACATGGAAAGGGCTGTAAACACCAAGTTCTTTTCAAAATACAGATACCTTTCAAAAAACCCCATGTTGACAACCAGAGAAATCCCTTTCAAAATTTTCAGACAGAACTGCTCAAGGGAGATATGGGAAGAGACCATTACAGAACAGGGAACTGCTCAGAGAAAATGCACTACCTCCACATTCTCACTACAAACTAAAGCAAAATCCCTCTTTCCCACAAACTGTCAGCACAGAAAGGGCAGGACCATGGACTGTCAAGACCCTTCCTCCAAGTTTAGACTTCCACAGGGAAATCAGTCATCTCCCCAGAAGCTGCTCTGCAAGCAGGATTTTTGAGATGAAATATCTTGAAATAAAATCGAAAATTTTACATTACTGCACACAAAGCACGTGGGGGCAGCCCTGCCCTGCCTCATTCTGACTATGATCAATGCAGACTCCAGCATTAAATGATACCACAGTCTCTTCCTGCTAACTTATGGGTAAAAACCTAGACACATCCTCTTTATCCATTAGAGTTCAACTTCTTTCCAAAATCCATACTCTAAGAGGGTATCTTTGAATCCAGGTGTGTTTCCTTCCCCACCATCATCTCTGATTCCACATCTCCATGTTCAAGAAATCACCAAAATTCAACCAGTTTTGCCTCTTGAGGCATTCCTGTATGAGCAATTTCTCCTTTGTAATAATTCCCTTGTTTCCTGAAAATCACTGATCTTAAGAGTAACAACTCAGTAATCAGGTGTTAAAGACTTATGAATTTTTGGTTTAGGAGGGTTAGCCTTGCCCCAGGCTCTAGGTAAGCTCTTCCTCAGACACAAATCTACACTTGCCACAAAAAAAAAAAGACTTTCAGATCTTCTAAAAGACCCAAGTTAACTGTATACAAAGCCCTAACTTTCTCTCCAGGTACCTGTTTCCAAGATGCCCAAGTTTCAGGCTCAGAATTAGCTTTTCTTTTTGAAAGCTCAATTCCTTTAACCCTCAATGACATCCCTCCAACTCAGCTGGCAGTAGCTGACCCTCAGCTCTGCTTAGAGTAAAATCAGATTCATACTTAGATGAACATTAAATGCATTGTGAACACTTTATTTGCTTTCTTACCCAACACCACCAAGATCATGGAGACAGACACTAGTGATTTCAACCACTCAAAACCACGTGGCCTGGCAGCAGCCAATGCAAAATTTGCTTTCTCTTTGCACCACGTGCTGACAGGTTTTGAGTGCTTATTGCCAGCCCTGTCGATGCTCTGAGCCCCCTTTGCCTTCTCACTTTCTCACGTGCAAACAGCAGAAACACTGTGTAAAAACACTGTCTGGGGGACAAAGCATCGCTCAGTCCCACTGTTCAGGGCCACCTGGAGAAGAGGGTGAGGCCAAATCCTGTTTATCCCACCAAAATTTTGGTTCTGCCCTCGCCGTACCTTCGCAAGCAGTCTGTGAGAGTGGTGGTGCCTGACACGTGGCTTTCCCCGTTCACGACACTGCCATCACTCCCCGGACTCAGCGGCCAGAACGGGGTGGAAGAGCCTGGCAAATCCAAACTGATGTCCCAGAACGGGTCTATCGTCGTGGAAACGCCACTGTGGAAAAGGAAAACGGTTCAAGAAGTGTTTGAAGGAAGGAAAAACTAACAGCCTCTCTCGCTTTGGGGGGCACAGCAGGTACTTCATTTTGAGGGCTCTGGGATCTCCATCACCCCTAGAGGGCACTCAGAGATGACGGAAAGTAGAGCTGCTCCAGAGTGTTTTCCCCACAATTGGTCGTTTTCCTGAATATTTAAAAGCCATATGTTTGGGGAAACGTTAAGTGATGTACTAAATGGAACATGTAAGCATTTAATGCATTCTCTCACTCACTGGAGCCCTGTGACTCAGAGCAGAGTCACTCTGAGATAGAGGCACCAGCACAAAACAGTTGTTGACATCTCTGATGGCAGCTACATGCCAGCCAAGCAGTTTAGAAGATGGTCTGTCTTCTCTGGTCAACACATGGAAGATGGTGCTTAAGGCTACTTCAAGAAGTAAAGAGCCTTGAAATATTTTGCTGCCAGCAGTGCACTGAATTCAGCTTTGCAGTTCCTACCAGCATCTCCTACAGCCTTTGGAATTTGAGAGGCCACAGAGTAACTGCACCAATCAGCAGTTTATGTTCTCCAGCAGGTTTCTCTACAAGACAGCTGAAGACAAACCAAGAGCCCAACCATTTAAAAGGCATCTCAAAATTTTAACTAGTATTGACTCAAATCTTTTCCAGCATTTACACTTTTAAGAGAACTCCAGAAGTTCGGGGTCTGAGCTCCTGGTTTGGAAGCGCTTTCTCCTTGGACTTGTTATGTTTATTTTCTGAGTTCTCCCTTCCTCTAAAACCAGTGTCTTTCACTCTGCAATCTCATTAAGCCTTCAATAATCTGCCTTTTTCCCCTGCTTCATTTGTGCAAAAGTTGTCAATTTTCAAAAGAAAACTTCTTTTGTTGAAGTTTCATCAATGTTAATATTGTGTCATAACACATCAAGCTTTGCATTAGCACATAAGGATTCTGTGGCTCTACCAGGCAAAGAACAAAATTTCCTATGTTTTCCTTACAGTAAATCTTCTGCAAATCCCTCCAGGAAACTGAGAATAAAAGCAGATTCAAACAAGCCCAGCCCAACAGCCCATCTGCAGGACAGCAAGAATGCAAGGCAGAACAAAAAACAAGAACTCTGACTTCTGTGCTATGGCAACATCAAACATCTCCAAAAAGAAGTCAACTTGCTCAGGACAGAGCACAACAATAAATTCATTTTTTCCTTAATCTTGTAAAAACTTTTTTTCTGGTACCTGAGATTACATGAGGTATCAGCCTGTTTGGAACCTCTCCTGAAGATAAATGAGGCTTCTGACCAAAGAAAAATGTGGTTCAGAATTTTCTTCAAATGTAGCTGCAATTATGTACTTTCAAATCCAAAGAGCTCTTGGAAGTCTTTTCCTCATGAACTTGAAAACCAACCTTTTCTAGATTAGTTAGAGTTTATATGCATAAGCCCATGGTACCTTCTGGGCAACTTTTTGGTATGTCTTAATATATGACAGTCAACTGGTAACCGATTGCATTTAGCTGATACAATCATAAACTCCCAGAATGGTTTGGGTTGGAAGGGACATTAAAGCTCATTTCATTCCACTCCACCCTCTGCCATGGGCAGAAACACCTTCCACCAGCCCAGGTTGCTCCAAGCCCCATCCAACCTGGCCTTGGACACTCCCAGGGATGGGGCAGCCACAGCTTCTCTGGGCAACCTGTGCTGGTGCCTCGTGATGCTGCATTTACACAGTTCTTGCATTGCTGGATTTTGCTGGTATTTACTGATGTTCAAGACAGAAAAGGTTCAGTGCACCGTTGCACTGGAGGGGCAGTAGATTCAAATCAGAGCCCAGGATCAGGAAAAAATGACTTACTGGCAGACTTGACAGGTAACATCTGACTGCAGTCCGCCTGTGAAGATTTGGTCTATGATGCAGTTACAGTGGTTGGGGTTGTTGGCCTTCTTCCCATTATCATCACCTGCAGGAATGCAAACACAGGCTCAGAAGTCAAAAATCCTCCAATGGAACAGTGGTTTGTCTTGGACTGTGTTCCTGTAACTCTTTCTAACAAATTTATACTGCAAGTTCATGTGGACAGTACAGAATACTGAAAACACTGACACTGAAGAAAGCAAGGAAACAACATGAGAATTCCTAGAAAAATATAATCAAAGGTGATTAAATGCAGTCCACTCCTGCAGAGGTGATGCTTTAAGCCGTATCAGCTCTTAGCCAAACCCTTGTTCAAGCTATCTCCCTTTACAGAGATCTGCCTTGCACTGCCTGGAATAAAAATCAGCTCCTAAAACAAAGGAGTTGCTAAGATGGTTGATGAAAATGAATGTTTGGCTTTCTTCATAATGAACAGAGAGGAGAAGTATCAGCAAATGCTACTTTTTAATTCTATCCTGGTCAAATTCTTTGAGCAGAGTGAGGGGAGAGAGTTTGTGAAGACCCATAACCCCCCCCAGCCTGCTGCCTCCATCCCACCCTTTCAACATCAACATGTTCTTTCCATGTAAGTTTTCACCAGTGGGAAAATGAAAGATGTCCTTATCTGAAGTGGGGAGATCATGCTGTGTCCACACTCCAGCAATCCTCTGAGCTCCCAAGGGGCACAGCAAACACGTTTCCATCTTTTAGGCATCACAAACTGTCACTGCAGTGACAAAATCTCGGGAGCATAATAATAACTTTCATGATTTGGGTGCTGAAATTAGGCCAATTCAGCTTTCCTATACTAACCAGAGCATCAAATAACCAAAAACTTCTTCATACAGCTCTCAGGTTCAAAGCCTTCTCCCTCCATTCCCCACAGGTGAACCAGGAGTTTCCTCTGATTTCCAAAGCTAAGCACTGCTTATTTTCCTTGGGTAGGACAGATAAAACTGGGTTTGCTTTGCAGTCAGAGATGCACACCCCAACTATTTCAAAGCACCAGCTGATTATTTTGTGAAGGACATCTTTAAGGTGTCTTCCCACATCCTACAACAGAAATTGCTACGACAGAACTAAGTTTGGTCATGTTTCCCAGTGTTTTTAACTGACTGGGAAAGATTTAATATCTGAAATTAAAATGCTAAGATGCTGACTCCTCAAATCACAGCTATTTCTCAAAAACAATGACTTCTAGACAAGAATGTTAAAAAAAAAAAACACCTGAAAAAACTAGAAGCATAGGGCAAAAGACCACTTTTCTTGTGACTGTGCTGCTCTAGCTGGAGTCTCCTTGCAGCAGGCAGAAATAAGATTATTTTCTCTTTTTAACACTGAAGTTTTAGAAGTTTGCTGGGAAATATTATATAACCTGACAAAGGTTCTCCCTAATACTGATTGTGGAAAAGCAGCCCTAGGTGTTACCTACTAAGCTGCAACAGGCCACTTGAGTTAATTAGATCCTAAATGCCCCAGGAAAGCTCTCCCTCAGCTGCTGGATTTAGGCTTTAGAAACTTTTGTCTGAATTGCCAAGAAAAGCACATTGTTTCCTTAAAATGGCTCTCGAACAAAATGCTCCAAAATTAGATTTCAAGTGTACAGAGGTTCAAGTTGGGGGTTCTCAGACCCCCCTTCTCAGGCACTTCTTGCTGGGAATTTCAGCTAAATCTTACTGAACTTAAGAGCTTTTAAAAGTCTCAATGCTGCTAAGCTAATGAAGAGGGCATACAGGAGAGAGACTGTACAAGGCATCTCTCACCTACAGAAAAAGCTCACTTAGAAGCTTTAAAGAAAGAAAAAAATTTAAAAACTGCTGCTTTTTATCCTTCTCTAAAAAACTCCACTTTTCCTTTTTAAAGAATCCACTCGCAACTACCACATCCTCGTAATCTCACCCTTGCAAACATTATCTCCCCTCTGTTTTGTTTTGAGGAGGCAGAAGCAGAAAAACAAGCGTGGAGAGGTGTTTTTTTTCCCTGGACCACAGGTAGCATCCCAGTTGGAACACCTTTAACAGACAGGGCATTTCCACCTACGGAGGGAACGAGCTCTGCCCTTTCCAATTCCACGAGTCAGTCAGGATCAGTGATGAGAGGCTCTCAAAAGAATACCCTGCAAGCTTGTTCCCAGCAAAACAGGAGGGCATTACCCACTCAACATTATTTCCCATGACATTTGCTTGGAGAGGAGGGAAAAAAAAAAGAGAGTGAGATTACCACCTACTCACACTTGTCAATATGGAACAGATGCTGAGAGGAGGTACATTATGCAGCTGAGAACTAGAAGCTGCTAGATTGTTGTGCTCAAGTTAAGGTTCCCTTCAACATTTCTGTCTCATAAAGGAGGTTTCAATTTCTTTTTGTTTGTTTGTTTGTTTTTAAAACTGGTCATAATTCTTACCAGGTTTAATCAGCAGCTTCTTCTAAGAGTGGTCAGCACAAGACTAGAACCAAACTTGAAAATACATCGAAGTACACACTAATGTCATTATGAGAATGGCAGGTAATTTGAGTTTACAAGTTTGAATTCCAATTAAATGCAACTCTCAAAAACCCCCACAAAAGTTACTACTGTGTCTGTGCAATAACTAAGCATGTTAACTTGTGTTCAAATATATAGGCATTTAATATACAACTAAAAGGTTTAAGTAACATGTAGCAGCTCCCAGAACAGCTATGGATGACTTTTTAAAGCTGTTTTTGGTTTTGAAATAAAAATAAAGAAGTTCTGCCCCCATTTTCCATTCTGTATTTTAAATGAGAAAAAGGAAGTCAAGAACTGTCAGGTTTTAAAAGAGGCACTTATCAAAATAAGACGTTAATGTTAATATTTGTGCTTTACTTTGGCCCCCCGTGTTCTGAACATGTGCTTGTTATTTATGACAAAGCAGTGTACACACAGATCTGTATGGATCACAGCAGATGACATGTTTCAGAAGCATATGCTGTATCTGTTCCTAAGAATACCAAGCAGAATTTACAGAGCAGGGCAGTGTTTTCCTCCCCAGTCTCAGCACACCATTCCTTTTTCTGTCTCACACCAGGCTCCAGATTTCCTTTGTAGCACTCCCTTGTTAAAGGTGACTGCAGAATGCTTCATGAAACCCAAATAAATGAGGAATAATCAGCTCTGAAGTACTACTGTCTTTCTGTCAGACAACTGAATTAAGTTTGGGATAAAAATACACAATTACTTCCAATTTTTTATCTCGCTTTCTGAACCTGTGTGTACCAATGCCCATCTCTGTCACTTGATTGTTGAACTCCTGAAATAAAGAAACCCCCACACCCAGTGATGTCTCTGGGCTGAATGTTACCTTTGGAGTTGCAGTTATTGCTCCATACAAGAAAACAACAATTCTGATCCAAGTTTCTCCGAGTTTGAATATGTCTGAGACAAAGCTGGGAAACTACAAAGTGTCTGGATGAGTTGAACCTCACTGTTGTGGGAGTTTGCAGAATTAGAACCCTGAATTTCTTCCAGAGCACTTGCAATTCAGATGTATCTGTCACGCTGAGTAAAAGCTGACCTGATGCTTTACAGACTGGGCAGAAATACACATTATTTACATTTTTTTTTCCCCACCAAAATACCACTTTCCAGTTAGATCACCTTCCTCCAGCTGCTGGAATGAAAAACAAGTGATGCACAGGCATGACAGACTCGATCCCTTTTATTCAGAAACAAAGTATAGATTCAACCAGCACTAAAAACACCAACCAACCAAATCAAAACAAAACTACCTGGGCCAGCCAACCCACATAATCATCACAGGGCAGTTAATTTTTTGCTTCATAGGATGCAGGATTACAAGATTTATCTTCAAATGGGCATCAACATCATGTATATTTCCTAATTTAGGCAGTGACAGATCAGTAACAAGCATTCACAGCTTTCTTTGACTTGCATTAGGACACCTCCTAGAAAGGTGAGTAAATGGAATGGAAAAGGGTAAGTGACCAATGCCAGTGAAATAAATATCACTGGATATTATACCTAAGGAGCACTTTCATTTACTTTGGTGCCTGAAGCTTTGGTGACCATGAATAATTTCCAAAACCCAGGGCAAAGTTTTCCCCATTATTTTATTTTACTTTACTGTGTGTTAATTGTAAAACTTGATTATTAGACTGGAAGCTTTAAGAGCTTTTTTTTCATTCAGTAAAATAAATATTTAATATTGGCAGGGGAGGTATTATTTGCTTATTGTAGCTGTAGGACATATTCTCACTATTAGTAATAATATTTTTACATCTGTATCCTTCACATGCATGTGTGTGTCCCTGTGCATACACAAGTGGGAAAACTTTCTCATTACATTCAAAACTAGTTCATTCCAAATGTGGTTTTGCATGACTATACTTGAAATTCTGCTTTAGATTAACTTGTTTGGTTCCCACACAACTGCTCAACCACTTCTTTTAAATTACCTTGATGTGGTATGGATTATTTACAATAATTACATAAAAGTCTATTTCTTTAGAAACAGAAATCTGAAAACCTGGGTGCACAGATGTCAAGGAAGATATGTCAGATAGATTTTTCATTTACAGCCAAACCACACTTTCAAAAAAAGGCCTTTTCAGATTCTTTATCACTTTGAGAAGAGCTCAGGGACCTTTCCTGTTGCAAGTTTGGTTGGTTGGTTGGTTGTTGGGTTTTTTTACAGTTTTGAGCAGCAAACACTTCTTCATTAACAAATGGAGAAGTATAGAGGTATGAACATTATTTTATAGCAAAAGTGATGGAAAAAGCTTGCAGATTTGTCATATCAGTGGTTCAGAAACTTTATGGGAACCAAGAAGTATTTCTCTTTGCAGGTAAGTTTATTCAGTGTTGGGAAGGGAGAGGTCAGTATTTGAGTAGATTCTGTTCCTTACCTTACTTTAACACCAGTTTAATTAGGATTATTGAAATTCAGATTCACTTAGTGATTGTCCAGTAACAGGTATCGACAACCCCAAAAGAACTGCTCTGTGTACTCCCGTCCTTTTTTGGAGAAGATTCTTTGGGAGGCACCTCCTATGGATCTGAACAAGCCCCTGTGCTGCCATGCAGGGCTATCTCAGAGATAAAAGCAAGACTTCACAAAGGTTCAGAGCAGCAGCATTAGCCCTCCCTTTGATAGTCCTCTGATAAACCAAAAAAACCCAGCCTCTAAGTGCTTTTCCTAAGAGCATTTGAGGAAGGTTGAGTGCTTTAAAGCTTCTTTCTAGTGACTAAGGATTTTTTTTTTTGTTTGTTTGTTCTGCTGGTATCAACCCTGCTACTTTTCCCTTAGAGGAATAGGAAGAATTTCTGTGCTTCATAAGTGAACCAACCTAGAGCAAACACTGGCAGACTGGGAAATATTCAGTTCAGATTGAGTTCAGCTAACTAACACAAAATATACATAATGTCACAGGATTTTACAAAATCAGGACTTACAAACTTCAAGTCTAAAAGCCTATCACCAAATATTTTTATTGTACTGTACAATTATGGATTGTTATACACAGACTAATAAAATGAGACACAAAAATAAGACACTCTCACTTCTTTCCTTATTCACATTTCTACCAGCAATTTGGCCTCATAAATACATGAGACAGGTTAACATTTAAGCAGAATAATATTAAGAATAATATTAAGCCATAGCCTCTCCTCTGTTATATTCATCAGTCCCATGACACACTGAGTAAGAGTTCTAACTACCTCAAGTATAAATAGAATTAAAATGGCAATTTGAAAGAAAAGAGATGGTGACTCACAACCAGTAAGAGAAGAACATGATGGGGATTCAAACCGATGTACAGGCTCGTCTCCTCCTAATTCTGGGTAACTTTCGACAGCGGGATTGGTTTGCTTATTTATAAATATTTTTAAGTCCACCCAACATTTGCTAAGAGTGCTGTACTGGCACTAAACTTAGGAAGAGATTGTTCTGCCTCCTTCTGATCCAACACTCCTTTGCTGATGGGAGCCTCAGCCCCAGCCTTACCTTTGCAGTGTCTGTGCAGCACATCTAATGCAGCAATGAGGAACTCGTGTGCATCTTGTTGCTCGTACCCTGCTAAATGCCGTGCGTGAGTCCATACCAGGTGCAATAACCTATATGGAATGTGAGGAGATCGGTGCCCAGAGTAAAACTGCTCAAAGCAAAGAGAAGGACATGACTGTTAACAACTCACACAGCCTCAGTGCATTTAATTATTCAAAAGTCAAAAGAGCGCGATTAAGTCCAATCGATTTAAACCGTTTAATTCTGGTGGCCTTAGTAATAAAACAGGGAGACAGCTCTTTGTCATGGACTGCTGGAGGAGTGAGCTCAGGACAGAGCACCTCAGTTTTCTCCCTCGGAATTCCATCATTCTGTGATGGATTAGCCAGGAAAACGTGGGGGTGCAGGGAGTGGGACAGACAGACACAACCATCGCTCAAAAATTGCTTATTGATACCACTGGCTTTTATTAAAATAGCCTGGGGTGGGGGAAGAAATTAAAAATCCTGCAGCTGCAAAGGATTAGCAATTTCATTCATAAATTACGTGAATGAAACGCCCCCCAACAAATAAGACGAACACTGAAGATGAGAAAATTAGATGCCAACTGTCAGCCAGCCCCTGGTCCGTGGAAACTTTGCATCCAGAGGCTGTGCACTGTCCATTTTTTTATGGAAAAACTTCCAAGAAGAACAGCAGCCTCCTGCCAGGACTGGCCTTTCACTGTATGGCTGCAGCAGCACAAGACTTTAGAAATAACTTCCCTGAGCCAGCTGTTTGCAGAGCTGAAGGCACCCCTTCAGACACCTATTCCCAAAGCCAGCTGCTGTCACCGCTCCGGGTGACACCGGCAGGGTGTCACTGCCTGGGATCTGCTCCTGGACCAGCTCCTGCATCTGCTCCTTCATCTGCTCCAGTCAAAATCTGATGAGCTGGCTCCAGCAGTGACTGAAATTGCCCCAGGTGATTTTGCCAGGAGCACATTAGAGAATGCACAGACAAATTATCCAGTCAGCAAAACCCGTGATGTGACGCCCCACTGGTGAGTGGTGACACACAGCTGGGGAGGTAAATCAGTGCACAAGGGGAGGGCAGAGAACTACCTACAGACCATTTTTTCATTAAAAAAATAGCCAGATCCCAATTAAAAAAACCAAACCAACCCCAACCAAACAACCTGGCCCAAAAAACCCATGGTAAACAAACAGCCATGCTAAGGGTCTGTGTTTAACCTGGGTTGAGGTTCAGCCCTTCCTTTATTTCAGTACCACGACACCAGTTCCAAAAGCAAAGCAGGGATGCTTGTGGTGTCCCTGCAGGGAGTCAGGAAGGGCCCACAAGAGTTTATTCACTTGGCAGAATAACATTTTTAAGTCATTTTGCCTTCCCTCACCTCTGGGAAAGGTATTTGCCAGTAAATGCTGCCTGTAACACCACAGATCTGTTTTCCCAAGATCCCATCAAGTCGATGGTGGTTTATTCTCAGTTACTGTTCCCAAACAGAAGACAGTAAGTGGCAAATACACAGGACAAAAATAAGATTTAAACCTCCACCAGTACACAATTTCTCATCCTTAGTGGAAAAGGGAGTTCCCTTCCCCAGCCCTGAGTTTCTCCCTGCACAGTCTCTAGGCATTTTACAGAAGTGCAAACACAGGCACTGTGCTACAAACCCACTGAGAGAAATCAGACTGTGTTTAAGGGACAGGTTGGCAAAAGGCAGTACAATCTCTTCATCCAGTCCTCATATTTATAGGGTTTTCTATGTGGCTATAGTGCGTTTGCTCCCAAACAAATCTCCTCCTTGCAAGCAACGCTTTTTCCAAACAAGAAACTCCACCTCTGCAGCCAAACCCCACAAAATGCTTCTCTAAATACAAGGATCAATAGTTAACTCTGATGCCAACAAGAAGGACACCGAGGGACTGGAGCAGGAGCGTGGTAATTGAAATCTGCTGACGCAGCTGCTGCTCAACATAATTCAGGGAACTGCAGCAATAAAACTTCCCTGTTCTGTCACTCCTCACAATTAGTCCCAGAGCTCTCTGGTCATTTTAACCACCAGCACTCCGTGTAATTACTCCACTGCAGACATGAGACCTGCCAGCAGATTTTACATTCTCTGGTGCTTCAGCAGGATGAGAGGTAACAAGAAGCTTTATCAAATTATTAACTGTTATCAGACAGATATGAGAAACCCACCTGGAAAAAACATGGGGTGGGGGAAAGCTTCACTGCTGCAATGAATGTAAAATGAAACAAAAGAATCTGAGCACATTCATCAGCAATATTTTAGCTGGAATGTATTGAAAAAAAAAAAATCCATCCCATCTCTGTCATTTCCTTGCTGCTGGGAAGAGCAGCCTATCAGAGCTGTTCCAATCCACAAAAAGGGAAAAAAGTCCACGTAAAGTCTTGTTCCATCACTGTTACACCAACCTCTTCAGTAAAGTGTGCAAATACAAATAATGATGCATTTGCAAGTCACATCTAAAACACTTCAGTGGCACAACTGTTCCAAATAATCCAAATATAATTTTTTTTGTTTAGATTTGTTTTCAATTCTGCAGTAGGGGTTTGTTTATATTGGAGAGAACTAGTTTGAGCAATTTGAAAGTGCTGGGTAATACACTGTTTATTTGCTGTTCCAGGAAAAAAAAAGGGGAGGGGTGTGTGGAAAAGCTAAACCAGGATTCAAAGCTTCTCTCTTCCACACAGCCCAAGTAACAGTAGTTTTGTTTTTCCACTTAAAACACTTGCTCTTGGGTTCTAAAAAGAAGAATCTATACGGGATTTAGAAGATTCTAAGCTTTGTAATTTGCATCATTGTTACCAAAAACACATAGGCACCAGTAAGGTTTTAAAACAAAAAACCCTATCGTACACATCTGTACTTCTTCTTCCTCCTCCTGCCAAAAACATGCACAGAAGTTTCCCAATTATGTGAATAAAGAGATAAATTTGATTTATCCTGCATATGTATCAACTAAACAGTCTCTGAGCTCTGTAATTAAGAATTTATAGGCAGAAATCCCGTACCAGGTTCCAGTCCAATTTGAGAAGTTAAAACCTCCTCTTGGAAACTGGTTCTCAATTAAGACTTTAAACATTCTGGCAATTTACAGGGGACGAGGGGAGTGGGTAACCCATGCACCTTTCAGAATAAGAGAACACCTTCTGGAGCTTTCCCAGGGAGGTTTCAAGGAGTTCACAAAACCAATTTTGCTTGCATGAACTCTGTATGTTCTACACTTACTTCAGAGAAAGGGTTTTACCAAATCAGCACAAACTCTGTATTTTCCATGACAAAATGCAAGGCCTCTGACTGTGTAAAAAACCTTTAACTACATTTTTTCCCTCTTGTACCTTTTTGTAACTTATTTTATAAATAAGCTGCTTCACCAGCACCGTCTTCAGATATCAAAGCCATAAATCATGTTATTAGTTTCCCTTTTTGTCCTCACTTCTCAACTCTTCCTGTAGTTGTGCTGTGCACTGTGATAGGCTCAGGAGGATGAGTAATGATGGGGAAAAAAGAAGGGTTTGTTCTCTCCACCTCAGAGTGGATGCACTGCATTCTGCCCTATTCCCAGATATTCTTGCTATTCCAATCACAGAGCACACAGAGATACAGATCTACTAATCCTACTTCCTGAGTGGTCATTTTGGAAAGGATTTAGATAAACCTTAGGGTGTAGGCCATCCCAAAATGAATTTTCACTGGTGGAGCAAAACCAAAACACAAATACCAGCAGGTAAAAAGGAGTGCACAAACCCTTTCAGCCCAATGGCTCAATGAAGGATTCTGTGTGTTCTATCTTCCCTCCATCCAGTTTCACCACTATCTGTTTTTCCCAAATCCTTCTCATTCCTTTTCTTATGCAGTGTAAGTCATGTCATGGTTCTATTGAGAAACAGGTTTCAAGTAGCACAAATGAGAATGTTAATTGATGCAGTCAGATAATTTGAAAACAAACAGAGGTCAATGTTTGGCAAATTTGCAAGAAAAGCCACCAGGAAAAAAACACCTCAGTCCTGAGAACCATCTGATCCTCCTTACCCACCACCAACCTCCTTCAAGGTGGAAGAAGTTTGTAGCTTCCTGTTTGTCACAGAGAAATCACTCAGCCTATATAATTACACGACCTTAAACACAAAAAAGAGGGACGAGCATTTTCTGTTTAAGAAGCAAAAGAGCAAAACTCGCTGATTTGGGTAGAGTAAAAGCTTTACTTAATGTTACTTTTTGTCCTGGAGAGCTCTCACTCAGGCACTCACCAGAGCCCCTGGCATTCCAATTGCCTAAGATCACACCTTCAGAAAAGAAGGGTGGAGGGGAGATGAAGTTAACCCTTGCCCTGGTTGTTTGTCCCTGGGTAAGATGCCTTGGGATAACCACACAGTTAATCCCAGTGGGAAAGCTCCGTAGAAACAAGACAGAACCTGAATGAAAGTTTCCCCGGTAATTCAATTACAAAGGAATTCTCAACCATAGCGCTGAGATCTCCCATGGTTCGCTTTGCTTCCCTCACACCTCAGCTCTGCAAAGGCAGCACAGGAATCTTCATCATAACTGCTGCAAAGGGCTGGGACACGAAAGGTCTGCTTCAAAAAAATGCAGGATTTTCATTTTAATTCTGAACGTAGAGAAATTAAAACTCACTGGGAACAGAATTTTACAACAGAGCCATAAACACAACAAGGTATTCACTGCTTGAGAGTTAAAATATACCAAGTTGGTTGTAGCTCCTAAAGCTTTGCTTGAGAGGACTAAGCTCTGAGTCACTTTTTGTGTCCTCCCACAGCACAGGGCTGCAGCATTTAACATGAAATAAGGGCTTATATTAGTGCTGTCTCCACACTCTGATATCACAGATATGGCTGTTCCCTCATCCATAGCCCCTCGTGTTGCACAACATTAATTATTGGAATTAATACAAGTGTAAGCATGAATTTCGACTGGGGAAAATGAAGGCTGAGCTTCCCAAAGTCCTGTGTGAAATTTAACTCGATTACAACTGAAACAAATGCAAATACTGCATTTAAGCCCCATTTTGGACAACAGCCTGTTCTTTGTTCCATGCTCACAGTAACAAAAGCCATCCTAGGCCATCAAGGGGGCTCCACACACCAAAATGGAAACAAAAATCATTACCTAGAGAGTCTTGATCTTTCCTCCAGCCCCTCAATCTGTAATGTAACACTCATTTCCCCTTTCCCAAGGGATTTTTTAGAAAGGCATGTGTGTAAACAGAGTGTGGTGATATTCATCAGCATGAGGCCTTATATCACTACTTGATGAAAGGATATCAAGATTATAATAGTTCCTTTTTTTTTTTTTAATAAGCAAATAGGTTTCCATATTAACAGTGGATAGAAACTGGTATTTCTATACCAGAACTGATTTTTTTTATCTTGGCATTGTGGTATTTCCCCATTTAACTGCACATCTGTTTTCAATAATCCTGCAGCTGCTACCTATTGGTCTGCCTGCCTTTTGTTTTTACCTCCTTTCCTGACAGACTCGGGAACAACTGAAAAACAGAACAAAAAATAAGATATAAAACATGCAACTCATGACTGATAAGCAGCGTGAAATGCTGCAAATTCCCTGTAGTGCTCAGTATGAGCAGAACAGAACTTTCTACTCGAACAGCTAAGGGGGGGGGGCTTTACCTTCCCCATGTGTGTTTAACTCACCTGCAGTGACCAAAAAAGAATCATCTCTGGTGAAAAAGGCACAGGAGTAAAAAAACAAATTGAAAATCACAGGATAAAGGTAAAGCTATTTTAGGTTTGTTTAGGTTGTTAGAACAAACTTCCATGACAGCACATACACAGAAAACCTGCTCTGTGTACAAACAGCTCCAGAATCCTAAATATTCCCTGACAGCACCTACTACAGCATTTGTTTTTTGGGTGTTTTTTTTTTTGGTTGATTTTATTTTTACTTACCAATAAAGCAGATTTATCACTGAGGGAAAGGCACAGGACTGAATCTGTTTGTTTTTAAAGACATTTTAAACCTAGAAGCCCACATGTGGGCCACAATCCTTACGTTGCTAATGTGGAATTAAGAGAGTTAATAAAGCTCTTGGACTATTTATTAAGGAAAAGCCCGTGCCTGTCTCATACAGCAGAGACCAGACCTACAGAAAAAGGCACATTGCAAAACCAGTCCCCTGGGTGGGAAAGGGAAAGGAGAGCAGCTTGTACAGGGAAGACACAAATTACAGCAACCCATTCACTTTTCTACCTCTCCTTCCTGGCCATTACTGGCTTTGCATGGAAGAGGTGACAGCAAAGATGTTTCTGCCTGTGAGAAAGCACTGAATCGAGATCTTTAAAATATTCATACAGACCTACATAATGCAGTGCCTTAAACCACAAGCCTATACACTACTGCTTTATTCTCACTCCCATTATCACCCACAGAGCCCGTGACATATTTTCCAGTTACAACTTGCACCTTTAATTAAAGCACACATTCGGCTTTAAGACTAAAGACTCGCAGATCAGTCTCAGAAGGGCAGGCAGGACTGTAATTATTTCCAAAACCACCTTTGCCTAAACAAGGGTGACTTCAGAATAGGTCATTAAAGGCCATTAGTTCCCTTTTCAGCAGCTGGGTATTATTGACAGTAGGGTCTCAATCTTTACTGCTCTGTTTTGCTGCACCTTGAGGGGAAACAGGGACTGGCATTCCCTTTATTATTTGCAAATAGAACACCCTTCCTGTCGGGGTAAGGAGAGGTGATGCTTTGTGGCAAACAACACTCACCTCCTGAAAGAGCGTAGACATTTCACAGACCAGACAAGAGCTGGGGCTTTGCATTTCACATTTGTGCCTGTCGGAGAGGAAGAAATCTCGCAGCAGTGGAGTGTGGGTAAGTGCCTGGACAATACAGTTCATAAAACATGTGTTCCCAAGATTGATTAGCCCTCGTAGACCTATAAAGACAGAAAGGGGGAGGGGATGCATAAGCATTATCGAGGCAACAAAATGGTGTATTTGCATTTTTATACAGTTTTCACAACACTGCCACAGCTTTGCTGTAGGTGCACAGCTCCAAGTACAGTTTTATGCTGGTTTAGGGAGGGTATTGGTTTTGTTGTACTCAAAGTCACGAGGAGCTGCAGAAGCTTTCTGAACTACATTAGGATTTGTTTCTTAAATTCTCAGAAAAAAAGGAACCTCCCAAGTACAACACCACCAATAGCATTATTTTGCAGTGGCAGTTTTGCCACACGTTACCAAAACATGTCCCTCCCTGAGCTGATACCGAAGTGCAATGACAACAGCTGGCAAGTCACTCCAGTAAGAAAGCAATACATTTAAATAAATCAATAAGTAAGTTTTCAGATGGTTGAAAAAGGCTTTCCCTCATGCAGGTCACGAAGCCAGAATAAGGTTTTTAAGACTATTATAATGCAATAATCATCTTTCTGTGACAGGCAGCAAAGGGAACAGCCCTGACAAACCCAGTCAGGCTGTGACATCCAATGCAGATTTAGATCTTTTTTATAATAAACCCCAAGACTGGAACAAAACAATCTCAAAAGAGAAAACTCTGAACAACACTAACTCCACACTCGCTTTAGGTAAATTAAACATTAATCTACAGCAGACATCAAAAAATTCAAGTTGGCATAAGAGGATTCATCACACCTTAAGTCAATGTTCAGTAATGCCCAGAGACGATTTCTTGTGCTTGGAAACCAAGATGCTTAAAGGAAAGCTCTTTTGTTGCACAACAGAAGAGAGGTTAGGAGTGGGGAAAGCTTTTCAGTCATTTGCAAAGTCTAAGTGAGAAGAAAAACATGCTCAAATCCTTGAGTATTCTTCCAAAATGTTAACACAATACCATACAGGAGTGCTAAACGAGAAGAGCATCAGGTGGACAAGAATCCTTATTTTTAATCAAAAACTTACTTTGAAATGAGATAAAATGCACCAACAGATACAATCCTGGTATTGATTTAAAATTAACACAGTCCTCTCCTGCAATATAAATAGGATTACTACAGAAACATTGAAAGAAAAAACAGGATTGCTTGATAGAGAATGAAGAATTTCCTTGTTCCAAGGAGGGGGAATGATCAGCTGGCAGTGCTGTGGCAATTAGAACTGGTGCAGTTCCCTTGCAGTACAGCAGATAGTGCTCAAAGGGCTCTTTAGCATCCTGCAGCAGGAGGAGGTGTGGTCCAGTTGCTAAGTTACCGAGGAGAATCAGCACTACATCAGCTTGAACCGCTCACCGAGCTGAAGGCACGGACACAGAGCACTCCTAAATTTTTTTTCCTGATCTAATACAGCATCAACCTCCTCCCAACAGCTTCCTGTTCCTTCTGTTTACTCTCAGGACAAAGTCTGTCATCACATAACAGTGACTTCTACTGGGCAGCAGCTTATTGCAATTATTTGCTTTATTGTCATGCTGGGAGGCAGTAAGTGTGTGCACAACATTAGCAGAGTGTTAAATAGTTAATTTGTTGGAGCAGCTTGAAATACGGTGTGAGGCTTCAGCTTGGTACACAATCCTATTTCAGTGCCCAGTCTGGTCTCTGCAAACAGCGTCACAACAGGAGGGTGTTCGTGCTGTGCAAGTGGAGAAATGTTTGCTTGGTACCTCTTGCCTACCTCTCTCCTGGTTGTTTTTTTTTTTTTTTTTGCCATTTAAAATTGACTGGTTTTATTTAAATCACAGGCTGTGCACACAGAAGGCTGGAAGGCTCCCTCACATGCAGGGTATTTTGGGAAGCAGAAGAGTCTCTCCCTATTTCTCCCTCTGGTTAGAACCAGATTTCAAAGTCAGCCTGCTCAGCATAGAAAACTAATGGAAAACCAGCAGTAAATCTAGACATTCACCCCAGAACTTTTCTTTTTGGTGGCTAATAGAGCAGTCACAAAAGCAAACACATAAAGGCAGCTTTTTGGAATCATTTATTAAGCATCATTTATTACATGCCTGTGGCTGGACCGTCTTTCCCTGTGACCACAAGAATCAAATCTTCCTCAAAGTTGCCACCAGAAGACAAGTTACAGGTGTCAGACTCAGAAGGCTCTTGGATTACTCCGCTTGCTTGGTGTCATTTTTCATGGATCTAAATGGAGTGATTCATGTGCTATGACTTCACTTGAGTGAACCGAGACAAAGCAACCTGCAAAACAGACAAGGCTGAAACGTGAACACCCCAAACCCTCATAAAAATCACTGAGTGCTGATTTGTAGCAAAACACAAGGACTTACTTGGTTGAAAAGGGAAAAAAGCAAAAGCAGCACTCATCAATCTTATCCTGGTGGGAGCAATGACTGCAGCTGCTACACTGTCTCAAACCGATGTTTGAAATTAAACAGGTATAAGGCACTGAACTACAGCCCAGGTACTGTGTAACTAATTGCAGCACATTGGAAAACATCAAAATGTGATGTACTTTAATCTACACAACTCAGAACAACACATCCCGCTGTGCTTAACTTTTATGGGGAAAAATCAGTTTTACTGGAAAGAAAACCAGCTAAAAATTTAAGCCTATCCAGCATTCTGGTCAACAATACATTAAGAATTTAAAAGATTTGTGCCTGCCACACCTATTCCCTGTCCATTAATAAAGCCTGGCAATGCTCATCTGCAATAGTCAAGCATTGCAACATGTGGGTCACATAAATTAACAGAAAAAAAGTGTGCCAAAACCTCACAGTTCACTTCTGCCAGCATCAACAGTGGTCTCCACCAGCATCTAATCAGTGGACAGTATTTGTAGAGAGGAGTGACTGCCTAAGGATTGCCAACAGGATCCAACCTCTAGTAATAATAAAGCTCTGGTATTTTGTCAAGTTCTGCTGTGCTTCATAGCATTATCTTTATTTCTGCTTCTCACAAACTGTTCCTGAAATGAGCAAAAGGAACCAGTGAGATTCTTAATATATTCTGCATGCAGATGTGTGTCCTTGCAGTAAGCAGTTAACAGAAAAGCAGTTTTACTTCTGAACCTTGCTGATGCAAACGTAAATATTGGAATAAATTAGTGCTGCTGTCAAGACAAAATTGCCATAATGTGGTATAACCATAAAAAAAGAAAATATCCTTTAATCATAACACATGGAGTACAACCACTGCTGTGGTCCTGTCACAAGCTGGGCTGGCAGGGTTTAAGCACACAAGCAAGAAATCTACTTCTGCAATGCCTTAGCACAGGGAAATCCACCTGGGAAATGCTTTGTACATTTAGTCTCAAGACTGGGTTCTAAGCAGCTGGCTCACCTTGGTCAGCTTCAGTTCTTCCATCTTCTTCCAGTAATGGTTCTGTTTTTCCCAGTGCTCAAAGCGACAGATCCGCAGGACTGGGTAACAAGGCTTGTTGGGACATGGGGAGATCCAGAACACTGGTTCTGCCAGTCCACCCACGCAGGAGAGATGAAAAATCCAAGACAAGATAAGAAAATTCCACTTCTCTGTGAAATGCAACTGTACAGCTATTAAAGGTGGGGAAGCAGGGAAATGAGAGGACCACACATGAATACAAAATACAGTAAACCCAATCCTGCCCTCTTGGGAGAGGGTTCTGTTTGTCTCTAAACCCAGGCTTTGTGCTGGGGTAGGAAAGGCACCAAACAAACCAGTCTGAACAAATGTTACCACACAGAAACCTGTGATTTACTTGAATGAAGGTTCTGGATGCAAGGACATTGGTCACTGCATAATTCACCTTGGTGAGACAATCAGGAGATCATTCAGATGCACTGAAGCACAGCCAGACTGAGATCCTTCATACATTAAGGACAGGTTGGCAACACCTTAGAGCAATTTTTGTCTCCTACCCTCAGTCCTCCCAGTCCCCCATCTGGTGTTGATGTTTCCCTGCAGCTCCATCAGACATTATCACAAGTCAGTGCAAGCTGAGGAAGAGCTCAGTGAAATATTTAGAGAGAGTTCAACATAACCCTTGCAAGCAAACAGTGTAGCAGAGCAATGATGGTTTCTGGAATAATTTTGGGTTTCCACCCTATGTTCATCCAGCAGGAATTGGCAACAGCATCTAAGAGCATCTTTCTGAAAATGTATTTCAAGAGAGGACTGCCCTACTTCCTAGCACCTAAAACTAAACCCAAATTCCCCCTCAGCTCTCAAGTTTCAGGTGCAGAACACACCACACACGACCAGAACGGATCTGTTACAAACACTGGCCCAGTCAGAACAACACACTTCTGTTCCACCTGCACGCCAGGAGCAGCAGCTTTGCTAATGGGGTTAGTGACAGCAATTATTCTGAAAAGATAATCCCTTTTGAAATAATAATGCAAAAATACTCATTTCAGAAAGCAGCAGTATGCAGATATGTGGAATTACAAGTCCACACAGGAAAATGCATCACTTTCTGTGGCACCAGTGATCACGTGAGATCAAAAAAACCCCAACCATGCAGTTTTGGGGAATTTATTTCCACACAACCTCAGCTGAGCATCCTTTCTCAGAGGCTAAAACCCACAGTAACTGCAGAAGTGGGAATACTCAGTTGCTGCATTAGAACAGTTTTTTTCAGAGATGTTTTTACAGAATACTTTCTACAAACTTCCTGATAACACACTGAGGTATGAAATTATTTTGACAACAGTTTAAGAAAAAGCTACAAAAACTTTTACCACAGCCAAATTAAATGAAAACATTCCAAACACGTGATCTTAAAAACTAACGGAACAATTCAACATATCTACCTCCAGCAAACACAAAATAGGCAATCTACCATAAAAATGAAAATGATCCAGGAGGAGGGGAGGAAAAACTCCTCACTAAACAGGAAAAGGGAGTAGGAAGGGAAAATAAATATGTGGCTTTGGAAGACTAGACTAAAACAATTCAGTTAAAGGAATGAAAAAGATGTGGTGAGATCCAGACACAGAAAAATAATGAATGTTCAAGTGTTCCAGGAGCCTCCACAACAGCAAACC